CTAGCGCATCTTTGGGAGCAAAAATTAATATAAGACACTGTCTTATTTTCGGGGAAACAGGGTAGTGAGACCAGGCTTGCTAACACCGGTTACTGTACCTGTTCCATAGCTGCAGGCTTTTTCTCCTCTAACTACTCTCCTGCAGCTATAAGGTGGTGTGGGGAGGAGACAGATGTCACGGCCACACTCAGACATGCCCATGGTTCACTACAGGTACAACTTTCCAAATTATGGCTGGTGAATTATGTGGGGAATAAAAGGTTTCCTGCATGCCCCATAGCATGACTAATCACCTTAATTTCTCTCTATGTTGGCAGATTTGTCATCTGTGACATACAATAGCAAACCAAATAAGAGTAACACCAAAATTTGAGTTGATGCCTATAATAGAAAGCAATCTTAACTAGCTGTGGGAGCCTTATGCGCACGCGTGTTTTCTGTCACAGTAGTGGTCTTGTTAACAGGCATCTTACAGTGCATCATATAGATCAAAATATGACACTGTTCTGTTTGAATTGTGTTCGAATTCTGGTAGCCGGATGATTTGCTAATGGAATACTGAATGGGGAGAAAATAGCATTTACAATAAACCTTTGGTCTTGGCTTGATTAGTACTTCTAACCTACTATACCGAAAGTCTCTCTCTTTTATAGTCTGCAGTAGGATTTTTGTACCTAAACTATATATTTTTTTATACTTGCTAGCAAATATTTTTTTTCTATATCAGCAGTATGACACAATGTTGGTGGATTCAAGTGCAGACCTTGTGTGCCTGTTTTACCGGTATATTTGTTTGTATTTAACTTGTAATAATCTGTTAGAACTTTCTATTTGGAATCAACATGCTTTTTCTTCGCTGGTGGCGTGATTGCAATTAAACATTACAAAGCCAAATTCTGGGTGTTGTGATAGATATCAATGTATGAGCAGCAAAACATTTAACAAGGGCTGTGGTTTATTTAACCTATCATTTGGTTGTAAACTCTCTTACTTTTCATGTTGAATGTAGCAGCTTGCGATTCTGAATCCATCTGCCTTTGAGGCAATTCTTGAATCTTTTCTGTGTGTTTTAGCTGAAATTGCATATTAGTAAGAAGGTGAAAAAACTATCCAGCTAATGCGTCCAGTTAGTTAAGAATCAAGTCACACATTTTATTTACTTAAACCATCTGTGCTTGTTTTACCAGTAATATATTCGGTCTGCGCCCTGTGGACTACGCAGAAACTGAAAAGATGAAGTCTGTGCTAATGCTACCAATGAAGAACGAATCATATTCATTTAGTCAATGCTCAGAAGTAAGTGTTTCTAAAAATCAAATCCATCTTGTGAGCCCTGAACACTTTGGACCTAGGGCAAGTAGGGCAGCTGCCTTTACAGACAGGTTAAAAATGGGCTGGGAAAAACAGTCGAAGTCAAATTTGTAAAACTCTCCAACGTTCCCAAGAAGCTTTCTGTAACAAAAATGATATATACAGCATGGGGTATAAAGATTTTATATGCAAGACTGTGGGGTCATCTCCATAACTCAGAATGGTTCCCAAAATATTGACAAACTTTATTCCACATCTTGTGTTGTCTGCCTCTGTTGTAGTATACACACATCCAGTAAAAAGATGCACCTATTCTTTGCTCTAAATGCTTTTACATACTTTAAAAATACAATAGGCTATTCCAGTATCTCCCTTCACCCAATAATTAAGATGTTTTCAACTGCTGGGTTATTACACCTCTTTACAGTCTTCTGCCAGAGACCTCTCAGTTTCTTGCAGCTGGAGAAAACAAATTGGCCTCACAGTACGCCTTAACAATCACAAATGTAAGACTGTGCGTGGGCGGTGGTCTTATTTACACAAATGCCCCTTTATCCTGCTAGAGGAATATATAGAGGCTTTAGTGCAGGGGTCAGCAAACTTTCAGAAGTGGTGTGCCAAGTATTCGTTTATTCACTCTAATTTAAGGTTTCACGTGCCAGTAATAAATTTTAACGTTTTTAGAAGGTCTCTTTCTATAAAAAGTCTATAATATATAACTAAACTATTGTTGTATGTAAAGTAAATAAGGTTTTAAAAATGTTTAAGAAGATTCATTTAAAATTAAATTAAAATGCGGAGCCCCCCCGGACCAGTGGCCAGGACCTGGGCAGTGTGAGTGCCATTGAAAATCAGCTCGCGTGCCGCAGGTTGCCTACCCCTGCTTTAGTGTAAATGAAAATCAGACCTTACGTACATATTTCTCTATGTACCCATAAAATATAATCAAAATATTTACTCTTCATTGTTTAGAATGTTACTTTTCTATTTACTTTTCATTGTTTAGAATGCCCTGCAAGACCTTTGGGGGTGGTGCCTCTTTGGACAAACTGACTTTGTGGCTGTCTTTGATATTGTCTTTGTAGAACAGTTTCAACGCTTGGTGCTTCATTACAGTAAAATTTGTGTACCATTTGTAAGCTAATGTACAAACATTTATTCATATATTTTATGTCTTGTGTGCATATATAAAAACATATTATGATAGCACGCAGAGGACCCAATGGGCGGGGGGGAGGGAAAGCTGTGTTGTGCTAGGCACTATACACTAAAGGTGATTTTGAAATCTTTACCCTTTAATACCCCAGTTTAAACCATTCAGAACACATTGCTTTAAAATGTTTCTGAGTACGTTATGTTCTTCAGTTGATTAATACTCAGTAATTGCTATTAGTAGGGAGGGAAAACGGTTCTCTAAATTTGAAAGTATCAGCTTTCACTGTGTGGTGAGTTTCTTGTCACATTCCTGTGACCTGTGGAAGTTAGGCATGTACTACAATTCCCAAACAGAACACGCTGCAGCTTCATCAGCCCGTTTGCTGAAAGCTGTTACTAATTCCAAAAGGTCCCCAAGACCGAACTTTTAGTTAATTGAAAATTGCTTTGGTACGTTACATAAATTAAAGAAAGTATCTGCAATGCCATAGCATTCCCTCTAGAGCTAGTTTGTTACATATAGATTTACGTATGTGTCCTGTAAGATGCCATGAATTATTCATTTCAAAGGATTATTCTTTATTAAATAGATTAGTTGTTTTCTTTAAGTTCCCAAACATTCAGTTTAGGAAGGACTTAGCACTTTTTCCTCTTGTCGTCACACAGCAAGCAAGCCCAGGCCGCCCTAGAGAAGGACCTGTTGCTCTACTGGGAAGCAGCCTCAATTCAGAGCAACAAAAATCACTGAGCAAACTCGCAGCAGTTCTGAAGGCTAGAAAATGTGTTGAGTTTAACAGCACAGGTAAGTAAGCCCATATTGGACTGTCTCTTAGATATGTTTTAATGCTCACTTTGTATAAGGGTTATACATTTTAGCTATCGAGATGTTAACTGCATAATATTTTGTAGATTGAAATAAAACTTTAGGTTCCAAGAATGACATAGCATTTATGCCTCTAATAGGACTGAAGCAATATAAAGTTTCACATCTATTAGCCCACGGCGTATGGGTACTCCTTCTGAAGAGAGAGAAGCCTCTGCTACAAGAGTAGATGTGAACTTGCTGGCAGCAAAAATGAGTTGGCTAGAAACTTATCCTTTAAAAGGAACCAACCACCAAGATTCTAACTCTGAGTTCCCAGCTTTCTCTTGCAAGACAGGCAGAATTCACTAAACTCTTATATTTTGTCCCAACTACATTGCTAGCAAGGTACCATGCTATTGAGGTGGTAGTATAGCCCTCCTCACCTTACCTACTGCTCTTGGAACCTTCCACTCAGTTCCTTCTGGACCACAGTTGGTGAAGGTACTGCCTGCAGGAGCTCTGTCTGTCTGTCAGTCACTGGTTTGGCTGTTTTCATCCATGTCTTCATACATCTGATATCCTTCCCCAATAACAGTCCTTCCCTTCTACTTAGAACCAGGAACAACATTTCCTGTTTGTGAAGCTGTTTGCCTTGGGTGCTTGTTGCCTAGTGTTTTGTCTCTGGGGTTTTTTGTTTTTTGTTTTTCTGTTGCATTTCAGCACCAGTGTGGCTGGTGTTTTGCCACTTACTTTGCACTTTGGCAGCAATTTTGGGGTAACATACCGGCGCCAGCCTCTGCTTTTGCGCTGGTGTTATGGACACTTAGCACCCTGTTATTGCTCCTGTAGTTCTGTTGCCTCAACACTATAGCTCTAATATCTGCCATGCTTCAGCACCTGTCTTGGTGCTTCCGTGCTGGAGCCTGGAGAGTTCTGCACTTGTTCTGATTCCTCAGCTCCTTGCATTTCTGGCACTTTCCTGAACCTTTTCATCTTCTGTTTTGTTCTTTTTTGTTTTTGCATCATTTCTGTTACATGACATCTAACATGGAGGAAGGAAGGGAGACGACAAAGCTGCTTCACCCTTGTTAGTATTGCCGGGCCATGTCTATAGCAGATAAGGTAGCAAATATGGTTATCTTCCTTGGACTTTACCACAACATCACATTTTGCTAGATGTCACCGTGAGTACTTAGGAAACACGGGAAAATACTTCAAGTCTGCACACCCAGGGAAACGCCTATCAATCTGCATGAAGCCAGCCTGGTAAACCTGCTGGCTTAGGACTCTGTTTTTGTCTTGTTTGCGTTGGTGCTACCTGCATTGGTGCAAACCGAGCTCCCCTCTCCTGAGCCCATCATTAGTGGGGTGGCCTCATCAGAGTGCTTGAAACCACCACCTTCAAAGCTGAGGCCACAGTTGGAGCTTCTCTGTTTGGAGTCACTGATACAGTGCTCTAGCTCGTCTTAGGCAGAGCCTCTCCAGAAGGTGAGGAGGGCTCAAGAAGGAGCCAGCAGCATTTCAGCATGCTGCTGTTAAAGTCTCTAACGCCAGGCAGCTGATGTTACTGTCCTTTCTCATTTAAAAGGAGAAACAAAATTCTTAACATTTTTGGTTCTGGCCCTAGAGTTGCTACCTGTTGCACTTTTACTTCTTTACTTGAAACATCTCTTGAGCTTCATTACACTTTTGGAGTAAGAATCCAACACAGGTGGTAACTTTAGAGAAGGGCAACTTACTGATCTGCAAAAACAACGAGGAGTCCTTGTGGCACCTTAGAGACTAACAAATTTATTTGAGCATAAGCTTTCATGGGCTAGAACCCACTTCATCAGATGCATGGAGTGGAAAATACAGTAGCAGGTATAAATACACACAGCACATGTAAAGATGGGAGTTGCCTTACCAAGTGGGAGGTCAGTCTAACGAGACAATTCAATACCAAGGGAGGAAAAATCACTTTTGTAGTGGTAATGAGAGTGGCCGATAGTATTATGACGAGTTCTTTTACCTGCCATCTATCCTCAGAGTTTCAAGTTCATTTTTACTAAGTCGATGATGAATAGTTACATTTGTTGGGTTTTTGTTTTTTGTTTTTTTGTTTTTTGAGGCATTCTCTTAATCCCTTTTATTGATTGGCTTATTCCTCTTGAGAGCTTTGCCACCCATGCAGTATAGAACTGACTGAAAGATTCTCAGGCTGTGGTTAATCTGATCATGTGTAATGGAAATGCTTAGAAGGGGCCTGGCTCATGCTCCACTTAACTACTGTTGAATGTAGGGCCTGAAAATCTCGAGCTGAGGAAATTCCATCAGTCTAGCATTAAGGTACTAACACCCAGTAGTGAGAATCCTATTGCAATTATACCTTTGGAGGAGAAGCAGGTTTATAGATCAGTAAAGGTTCCTTCTCTTATAAACTACAAGGCTACACTTACAACAACTAAAAGGTGTCTTTTCACAGCAGATAGAAATGTTGTGGGTTTTCAGCTATCATACCCACTTGCACAAGTTGATAAAGAGAAGATTTTAATTGCAGTGAATGAAAACAGATTTTGAGTTTGGGGAAGAATGGCTGCTTATAAATGGGGAGGAAAGAGTTTGTAAATTGGGGGTGACTGGATTTGTAACAAGTCTTATAGATCTGGTTATTTTAGGTTTGTAGGCTTTCTTACATGTGTAACTTTTTTCTCTAGTGACTCACGTCATTATCCCTGATGATCCAATGCGAAGTACTATCAAAGGGATGCTGGCCATTCTGGCTGGATGTTGGGTCCTGAAATTTGAGTGTAAGTATTCAAATAGATGGAATGTTTATTTTTCAAACAAATGTATAGTTTGACTTGAAGATTAATATTAATATTATCTGAGAACTTTCCATTCCTGTTTCAGAAACTTGTTTCAAATATGGATATTGGCTTGACCTAAACTATGGGGCTTTTAAAATTTGGAGTGACAAGAATTTGATTAAATGTAATTACTCCATCTGTGGAAAATGTGTAATGCATCATTGTTAATCAGATACCAGAGAGATAGTCATCCCCCAAATGTAAGGAGGGGATGAATTTGTTTACCGCTCAGCATATTTGCCATAGTGCTGGAATGCTTAAGGTAAATGTTCCGATGTATGTGTTTAGTATTAAGTTTAAACATTTTAAATGGCTGTCGAGAAGGGCTGATTTGGTATAGTATAAGACTGCCTGATCAGGAGGAATGACAGGATGACTAGTTACCAGCAAAAACCAGTCAAGCTTGTGGCCTCATCCTTGTATTCCTTATGCTTTTCATAGCTCCCACAGAAGTCAATGGAAAATTTTGGTTGGTTTAGGGTTACGGGATCAGTGCTTGTTAGCAATATATAAAGCAGTAGTTATACTATCCAATACACCTCTGCATTCAGGATTTATATGTTCCATCTAACAAAACAGTAACTTAAATGAAAGGGCAGATGAACAAATATCTATATAGTATACATCTGAAGGCATTTTTTAAGTCTTCCCTTACACAGTTAATCAGTAGTTATTTTACAGTATGTTCCTTTCTTAACAGTTGTTCTCTGTATATCTTGAGGGCTGACTTTATTAATTCCCCTTCTAATTTATTTCTCTAGCACTCTGTTCTCTTCTTATATTGTGAAAGCCCTTCTTGTTCCCCTTGACTTCTCTGGGCAGGAATCCTCCCCCTCCCCCAACCCCAACCCCACCCCAGTCCTTTATTCTGGTGTGTTTTTAATTTATAATTAACTTGTGTGCAGTTTGTCTATCAATGGAGAATTCATAGAGAGCTTTCTTCAAGTGGTTTCAGGAGTATCTTGGATGATTAAACATTGGATATGAAAACTCATCTTTACTCAATAGGGATCTTCAAATAACTTAGCAGCCTAAATTTTTCAAACGGACTACTGATTTTGGGTGCCCAGCTTAAAGGGGCCTGATTTTTTTTCTAAAATGCTAAGCATGAAGCCCCTTTAAGGTGTCCCAAGTTGGACAGCCAAAATCACTAGTCACTTTGGAAAACTTGGGCTATCTGCTTCTAATGTCCATGTAACTTCCTAACATCCACTTGATTTCTTCTCTGTTCTTTTCAAATGGCACATTGGTTAAATGTCCCCTTGGATACTTTTGATATCACTTAATTAAAACAGCTTACGTTCATCACCCTTATCTATAGGTAATTCATAAAGAAAAGTCTTCAAGAAGTCTTGGTACTGCGATCTGTCACAAGTATGAATAGCTTCTCATTGACTCCCCCTGACATGTTGATAAATGTTGGTATGCCCTGTTGGTTTGGGTATCCAGAACTAGCTTCAGATACTTGGGCTGCTGAAAAGTAATGGGGAATTGTGGGACAATTATGGTATTGTAGCTGTCTAGCTGCTTAGAGGTTACACATGGGCAGGAAGATAAAACCTCTCTTTGGCTGTGGATAACAAATTTCTGAGGGGTTAGGAGCCAGGCCTGGGTTTGCACAGAGTGCATATGGAGTGTCTTCAGTAATTAGAATTTGGTTTCACTGAGAATATTTAAATCTAACGTTTCTGTGGTAGATCTTGACTTTATCAACGCTATATACAGGCTGTTCAGGAGGCTTGTTAATTTTCCAGGTTAAGTATCCTCCTCTTCTCCATCTATTTTACTGGTCAAACAATATAGAAACTAATACATAATGATATTACCAGTACAGGATTATCTCTTTCTTCAATTGAGCACTAGGGAGAAGATGGATTTTTCTTGCAGACGTGAGATTGAACATTTGTGAGAGAACTTGGTGGTTTTTTAACTTTAGAAGTGTAACAGAAAAAAGTAAACGCGGTCTGTACAGAAATCTTTATTCCATGGACATTTTAATGCACATCTTTGTTTTCTGTTGAGCTTTATTTAATGTGGTGTTAAAGTACTGATTAGTATACTCCTGGGTGCTAATGCTTATAGCTTAGTAAGCAACATACTTTTTAAAAGCAAGTGCTTCTCCTCCCTACTGGGAAATGTTAGTAATAACTCACGGGGTTGGATGCAGCTAAGTGCCTATAATTAACAACACCATTCCATCTGCTCCCACCAGTTTGTTGTTGGTCTTCTTCAGAGTCATTACAAGTTAAAGATTGTTATAACAAATAATTGGATGCCTGCTGATGAAACATTTGTCTAGAAAAAGTGTTTTACTTTGCTCTGCTTTTCATACTCTCTCCTTATTTATAATTGCTTTGGGGGCTTCTGTTTAGTAATTGGTTACATCCCCTTAGATGAGACATAAAAATAAACTTTTAAAAAGTGTACCCTTACCCTGGTGTATTTCTCTTGACCCTGTATCTCTATCAAAGCCATTACAAATAAATTAGACATAAGAAATGTTTGTTTGCTTACATTTTTAAGCCAGGAATTCAAACTTGGGGTCCACTTCTTTCTATGAACTCCGTGAGTTTTGATCCAGTATTTCACTTGTGAAAATATTCACATTGTGGCACATGTTAAAATTGTTCTCCAGGTACGTTCTTTAAAGGAAGTTTACATTTATGGCCGAGACAGTTTGTTCATGTCACATTTTATACTTTGCAAAAAATATTTTAATAAAAATATGTATTTTTCTGTATGAACACCTCCATTACAGCAGCTTTTCATATCTTTGTGTAATAAAAGCATCTTTCTCATCTGCCTGAATCATTGTATATCATCATGCAGTATTTGAGATTGTATATTTACAATTTGGAACATTCTGGTGGAAGTGCACTACTCTTATTTGGGCTAGGCACAAAGCCTGCTACTAATATAGATGGTGCAGAAACTCAACAGCTATTTGAATTCCCTTTTGGCTCTTGCTGGAGTCTGACGATGTAAGAGTGGTAATACTGCAAAAGGGTATCTTCGGAGAGGAAAGATTTCATAGTACCTATTGCCAGTTCCTTCTTGTCTATACATTTTATATATACTTAACACACTGTTGGCAATATCTCCATTTTCAGAGCAGCATAAAAATCAATTGAGACACCATTGTCACCCTACTCCTTGCCCTTGGCCATATCTTTCATTGCTTTCATTATTTTATTGCCTTCATTATTTCTGGGACTGTAATAGAATGGGAAGTAGAATATCGTCCTCCTCCAGCAAGTATGTTGAGATTAAGTTTCAAGCATTACTGAATTTCATTTGTTTTTTCCTAAATCAGAGTACAGTTTAAAAAAAAAAAGCTTGACTATTTTTCATTCCCCATTTAAATAGATGATAATCCTGATACATGTTCTTGTTATAATGGATACTATGAATGTCAGAATAAATGCATTCAAGAAACACTTTCATGTCAATGCACACATCAGGAACACGTAGCTTTAACTACACCACTCAAATCTCTACCTTGCTTCACAAAAATATGTAATTTTAAGGAGTTTGTAAAACTAATAATGAAAAATGGTTTCAGAAACCTTTTTATATTTTTCAGTTTGAAATCTGATCTCATGTTTCTTCCAAGGTACTCTGGATACTAGTAAGACTACTGTACTTAAGGCACAGGCCAACAGCTTTGTCAGATTCTGTTAAATGCAAAGGCTGCTTTCAGTCCAGAATTCCTACTTTCTTTCCTCAGTCAATTCACCTAATCAGTTTCTGCTCTATCTGCATAGAGACCCCTATATTTCCATTTCCAGCGTCCCCATCTACAGGTAAGTGAACATTTGCCATTGCTGCCACAGCTAGACCCTGGGCCCTTTGATACTAATATGGTTGTTCAATAGCAGCAATAAAGATAAAACATCACTTAACCTTTTAGAAAGTTTTTTAGGATGGTGGTATTCTAAAAGATTTAGTAACAAAATCCGTGCTTAGTTGTACCTAATGTAAATCCTGCATAACTCCATTATGGTCAGTGCGGTAATTTAGGGCTTATAGCACTGTAACAGTGGCTGAATACAACTGTACTCGTGTAAATAGCCCTGGCTAATGCAAATAGCTTCACTAAAAACAATAGTATTGCTCAGGCAAGTAAGGATTGGAGGATTGTGTCCTCACCTTGTAAAATTTACAAATTGCAGTTTCTTAATTTCCATGGCGTGGGAGCTACATAAATATGAAAGGGTAGTAATAAAGGTAAATTAGTGCCAGTATTCAGGCAGATGGTGCATTGGGAATTTGTGTTGCTTGCCCCAGATGTGTTGTGTGATGGGTTGTGGGAAGACTAGAGGCAGAAATTGTTCAGTGTAAGCAAGAGGAACAGTGTGAGCAGCAGCTCCTGTATGAAATAAGTCAGTCCCCTCATTTCCCAAATGTGGGGACATTAACACGCAAGCTTACAACTTCTAAATTTTAATGTTTATACTGCAATAGTACCTGGACACCTGCTCAGGGTCCCATTTGCTAGACACTGTGTACACAGAAACAAGAGTCTGTGCCACAGAGAGCTTAAAGTTGAAATAAGGGGGGGTTTAAAAGGACTGCTTTTTGAACGGTATGGATTTATATCTTTAAACACTGGTTATCTCTAAGATGAACAATTAAAAAAACTTTTTTTTTTTATGAGAGCAATCGCGCTTCAACTTGATCCTTCATCAGACAGATACTCAACATAGCTTACTAAGGAATGCACACCCTGGTGTGGGGTACTGTACCCCCAGAGTATGACTTCAATCCCTTTGAAGTGTGAGGAAATACACATTCTTGTTGGTATTCCGACTCTTTTGGGGTAGCTGATCCAACAAACTTTAGTCACCGCAGTTACGGTCATCAGTTTAATGACAAGGATGTTCCCCAGCACAGATTGAAAAGAACCCGTTAAATGAATATACCTGCCCACTCCCAGAATT